GTCCTTAGGTGAAGAGCACCTGACAGCTACATGCTGAGCCATGCTAACAGAACGACACCTTCCACTTCCCTTAATAGTAAAATTACCGTTACTGAATCATTGTCATAAAAAATGCATTCAAGTACATTACTACATATCTTAAATAAACACCAATTTTGAAACAATCAACTTTGAAAAGCTGCATAAATGAAAAGGGGGGGGTCCCTGATTGCTGTTCTGTTTGTTCACTGTGGTAGCCTGAAGCATTGTATTTTTAGAGACTAACTACCACTTAATTTATTTGGGGGAAACACACCACACACACACACACACACACACACCAAACAAAAAACCCTGCGTAATGTAAGAACAGCAGTGAAACAAGAAAACGGTGTGCCTGTCGATTGTCTTCACTGTCTTCGAGAACCGTGGTAAAATGTGGCCCGTGTGCCCCATTAGTAGACAGGAGAAAACAAGGTGAACTCACCAGCATGGAGCATGGGGCTTAAGGAGATAATACTGCACTGAACCAGCGGTTGGACTTTGGTATTCTCTGCATTCTGCCTCAGGCCACCAAAGTGCCCAGGAAGCTTTGCCAGGATCAGTGATGTGAATGTCGGATCCCACAGTTAACTGACAGTTGACAAGGGGACCATCATTTGACGTCAGCTCTTGTATTTTAAACTCCTGAGAAAGCAACTCAACATGCCACAATGCTCCAGCAAAACGTCTCCACGGTAAGAGATCAAGATCAGACCCCAAGGAGAAGCTTCTTGGGGGTCCTTTCAAATCACACTTAGGAAGTTCTGTCTGTCCCATTATCCACAAGTACCCAAGATGGCCAGCCTGACATATGGTGAGTGGTATGCACATTACTGAAAAGATACCAAGATCCAGATTTGGGGGGTGGGGGTGGGCTAACCCCTCTGAAAAGCAGCCACACTTAAATACAGTAACTAGGAGGGAAAACCAAAAGAAAATCTTATCCCCTATAAAGATCAAAACCCCAAACTACTTAAGAATGTATACCTTTCTATATAGCTTAAGTTTATAGCTAACTCCTTACAAAGTAACATTTGAAAAGAACCTGTGTTCTGAATATTGATTGACAAGGACAGAATGTCTATAGCCCTTGCCAAGGCACCCAGAAGGAATCGTGTGCTTGTTGCAAAGGCCGCCCGAAGGTGCCCAGGGGATCAACAGTGGGAGCTGTCGGCCTCTTGGGTCGGTTCACGGCCCTCCTCTTGGCATTCTGGTTTCCCGCTGCCCTCTTCCTTCGGGGGTTGAGTTGAATCTTTTTCAGCCACCTGATCTTTGGTTTGGGGTTCATGGGTGGTAAGATGATCTAAAACGACAACTGGTCCGGCTGCTTCGGCACTGCCCATGTCTGATGTCTTGCAGCCAGAGCTACTGGGAGGCCTGCGGAATGAACAGTTACACAAACAAGCAGAGAGAGAGAGAGAGAGAAAAGATTCGTCTTTCATTTTCCTGGATTCAGGCAAATGTGAAAATCACAATGTTTTCAGTCTAACCAACATGCACAAGATTATCTATGAGATTATCCAGCCATTAAACAAAAAACTATTGGGATTGGATGACATATAAGGAGCCACAGACAGAGGGAAGGCCGCAGGAGCAGTCCTATCCAAGCAATTAACTACGGAAGTGCAAGTGCTAAAAGCGGAAGCACACCTACCTCCGTAATTACCTCCTCCTCTCCGGAAGGGCAAAGCTTCAAGGGTGCAGGCCCCGCATTCCTCTGCCAGCACCCAGGCTCCAGCCACGCCCTCAGCAAAGAGGAGCCAGTCACCTCCCCCTCCCTGTGTGTGTGCTGGGCAAGTGAGCTGCAGATTAGCTCTGCTGAAACTGGCTGGGTGAGTGAGGGGAAGCAAGGGACAGCTGTGTGGTGTGCCAGCTGCCGCCTTTTCTGGCTAGGAGGGAGCCAGGCAGGTGGGAGAGTGCAGGGAAGAAGTTTAAAAAAGCCATGTGACCACACACTTTCTCTGCAAAGGAGAGCCAGAGTTTTCAGAGATCAGATGCTTAGATTCCTTGTCTTTCTCCTTTCTTTTCCGCGGAGACAGGAAGTCATTGGTTCTCCAGGAGAGTGAGCAGTGGTTTTGAAGTGGAGACAGAGGTGGCCCTGAAAACCCTCTTGTCCCTTAGGAAAGGCAGCCCTTGGTGTCCCCTAAGAAAGTCCTGGTCGGAGGCCACCGGCTGAAGGGATGGCAATGCCCACCCGAGGCTGAGGCAGCTGGAGTGGGCAGGGCAGCAGCCGTCAGACTTGTATTCTCGACCAGCACTTGAATCGGGGCCCTTTGCCAGAGGTTCAACATTGACGGGCACACCACCACTCCCCGCTCTGCCCGCTGGGCCAGTCCTGGGGACCTGCTGGCCAGTGTCCGCCCACTGCTCTGCCAGCCCCTAACCAGGAGCGGATTTCTACTATTCCTTGAACCCCGGTTAAGACCCTCTCTAGCCACTGATAACACTTCTCCCTTGCTGGACATACCACCATTTAATATAATTAAATACACCTGCCATGAGTCCTTTCGGGTCTGGCACTTGAACTTGCAGGTGCGCCCTGAGAGCACTTGAACTGGCAGGTGCGGCCTGGAAGCAAGAGCTGTTTAGTTTGTCCAAAGCTATATCCCCACCACCAGCTCAGATCTTGACTGTGGAGTGCATACTAATTATTAATAAACTGTCAATGACGCAGAACAATATGGGGGTAGTAGGAATGGAAGCTTTGGTGGGGACATGTCTGAGGGCTCGCTTATATTAAGAGCAACAGTACCAAGGGCAACTATCGAGAGCAAGTGGACGGCATGACCAGCCGGGTACACAGTCTCACCACGGATCCCATGGTTACCACTTTCTGACCAGACCACGAGATTTGTCCAAACGCTGGAAAAGCACTCCACCTGGGTTCTACAAACTACGTAGTGTGGCTGCTCTCGTGGTGAACACGCAGCCCTGTCTGGGAGGTGGTGACAGTGAAGAGCTGCCTGCACGTCTGGAAATAAGGCTGTGGTGTCGTGGGGGAGAGGTTCGCTTTATTTTCCCTGAAGCTGCTCTGGAACACTGCCCATTCACCTAGCATCTCTTCTAGGCCTCTGTGGCGATGGGAATCTGCTTCCTTCATTGTAGCCAACAGCCTCGCCTGAAGTTGATGCCATCTTTCCCCCTCCTCTTAGCCGGCCTTGCTCACGACTCGGGTGTCGTTTCTCCAGAGCTATCTGTTGTTTGACTTTCTCTGACCCAGGAGACACTGGGAGCTGGTTACAGAAACTGAACACTGCACGGGAGTTACTGCAGAAGCGAGGCCTTAGGCAATGGAAGGAGCTAGGTAGGTCTAGGGAAGCCTGCCTGCCCTGGGTCTGATGCTGGACCTGAAGCCTGCAGTCCCAGGAGCTGGAGAGGAAAATGGACATTAGGTGGGAGAGGCCAAGGACAAACTAGAGCTGCTTTTGTCTCTCACTGCTTCCAATCCTGATGGTGATCTGCAGGGCAGGCTGGAGCCCTCCACCAAGGAGCGGTGCATGTACCCAGCCCGGGAGTTAAAAGTGAAGGAGACCAGGGAGCTGAAGGATTGACCAGACACCAAATCATTGTAGCTGTAGGTGACCAGCAGAGCTGTCATATGCCTGGCTTACACAGAACATTCATTTAAAAAATCACTACTCCACTTTCACCTTTCAGCTCCTATGCAAACTTCTCCTGGGGCTAATCCTACCCTGGAAACAAATGGACAGAGGATGAAGTTCCAGCCTGGCTTCACCATTACTGTCTTGGGTCTGAGCCAACACACCTACATTGGGCAGAGGTCACGTTTTGTAATCTCCTTCTACAACAAACTACTTCCATGAACCCACACTGACCTTCATCTCTTCTGGAGAGCTACAGCAGATGTTTTCACGGCCAGGTGTACTTGCAGGTGAATGGGGGGGGGGGCACGACCTAAGAGAAAGCTTTTGTCTCCAGCAGGTGGCTGGAGACTTTCAGACAGGGTTGGCAGGGCTCCACAGGGGCTGTACTGGAAACCCAGATGACTGAACTGAGACGGTCTTGGAAGGGTCTTGATGCAAAGACCCATCCTTTGCCCCTGAAGTAAGTGTCTCAGCCGAAAATGAGCCCAAGTCGCCTGTAAGCTCAACTGGAGAAAGGGTTTGTTGATTATTGTTGACATTGACATAGTGGACACTGACTGAGCCCATCTATTGAGAGCCAGCGTACCGAGTTTCTTAAGGGTCGTGACACTGACTTGGGATCCCAGTGGGTCAAGGTTGACAGAAACAATGACACTCACCTGGGTCTGCCTATTCTCAACCAGAGCAGGACAAAGAGATTTGGAAAGGGAAGAAATTGGCTTAAAACCTCCCAGAGCTCACCAGCAGCAGAGTTAGAAGATTGGCTCAGGAACTGCTGGCTGCCCAATTCCTGCTCTATGCACAGCACTGGGAAGTTCATGGTGTGTGTGTGTGTGTGTGTGTGTGTGTGTGTGTGTGTGTGTGTGTCTTATCCAACAAGCAAGAGGGTGGTGCCGCAGGCTAACTGGGACATTACCTGAATTCTTTATAACCTCTGCTCTGAATCTATACTGATCTGCATCTTTGGGAGCTGTAAATAGATAAATGCCTATCCCCTTCAACGATTCCTGGCTTCTTTTTATCCCCACGGAGACGTGCACACTCCTGGGTCACTGCTGGATCCAGGGGGAGCTGCCGAGGCTCCTGCTAGTAGAAGGGGTCTTCCTCCTAGACTTCATTCTACTCCCCTGCCAACACCCAAGAACAGCCAGAGGGCCCGACCAGGCTCTTGTCAGGCAGCCGCTGTGACAGGAACTAGAGGATCAAATCCAATAGGAATCTCTTATTATTCTGTTACGTCTTTCTGCTTCAACATCCAAGCGTCATGACCACAAATAAAGAATGAAAGTTCAGCTTCATGAACAGCCACAGCCCTTCTACTCCTCTCTACGCTATAAACTCTTCAGGTTAAAAGAAACCTTATGGGTGATATGAAGCGAGGCGAACCCATGCGGTGCTCAGGTCCAACGGGACCAGAATCGTGAACCTGCCCAAACCCTTCACCTATGAAGGCCAACAAAAGCACACAATTAGTAGGCAATCCAGTGCTCAAACTGTGGGCTCTTGATTTCCTGCCCAATATTTTCCTACCACAGGATGCTGCCTGGCTGCATGTGATACTGGTAGTCACTGATGGCCCACTGAAATGGATTATGTGTTGTGGGTGAGTTTCAATTCTGCAAGCCAAGGTTACCTCAAGACACAACTAAAAGCTAGGAGACAGTAGTTCAAGCTGTACCACTCTACAAAAACTGGTGCCCACGCTCCGCCTGGGTTGTTGAAGCAGCCACTTCTCCCCAGCGGCAGCAGAGCCAGAAGGAGGGCTCAGGCAGGTGGGCCACTTGCCGGTCAAAGGCAAGGCCCAACTCCAAGGCCGTCCTGACCCTAGAAGAATCGGAACAAATGCAAATGGTTATGCCCTTGCTGGACTCTCCAAAGGGACCCCGGACTTTCTCAGACTATGTGAAGAGAGATGAAAATCACAGCATTCTAATTTTTTTAAAAGGCACATCATTGTTTGCATTCAATAAAATTCCTTTCACAATCAACTTTCCATGTTCCAATTATATTCAACAACATTCTAGCTAACATTTCAGGCTGCGATTCAAATTAACTAATGCCCCAAAGAGCCCTAATGGCTGGGAGGTTCTGAGCTCAATTGAATACAATCAAAGCTCATGAAATGAAAGGGTGGGGGGGGATGCTTATTGCATTTCATGCAAATTCAGCCTATCCCTCCAGCTTAATTTTACTGATAATATAAAGGTGGGGCATTTTAAACATTACAGTGAATGAAACTTTTAAGCCGCGAGAGTTATTTTATAAAATGCTACCTCTGAAAAGCTGATCGCCAAACAGTCTACAAAAACGGTTTGAGCCATAAATGCCAAGTTCATTTCTATTTCACTTCTGAGGTAACTATCTTTCAAATCGCAACAGCTGGACTATTTAACACAATCTGGTGAATCAAAGTATAGTTCTTCTCTGGTCTCCCAGTGGGACGTCTGCATTAGCCTGTGGCAGCCATCCAACACATGACGCACAGCGGACGGTCTGAACGCCGCTTTGCTCACAACACAAATGTATTGTAAGCAGGCCGCCATCAGCGCCACTACCTTCAAGGACAGAGATTTAAATGAGACTTTGTAAAGTCTTTTCCTGGGAAATCTCCAGAGAGGAAGTCCTTCCGTTTTAGCTGTTCCTCAGTGCAACCATGAGGTCTGACTGCCTCTCCCCCACCGCCCCTCCCTCCCCAGACTTTTCGGTGTGCTGTGCAGCGTTTGATTATTTCTCTCAGAAAGCCTCCCATTCAGGAGCTTTCCACACGCTTGC